TATCTCGAATTTCGGCTTTGCCCCAACTCCGGCATTGCCCCAACTTCCCCTAGGTAATGAATATCTATAGCTATAAATTGTAAAAATTATACTAAAAGTAAAATTATATTTATAAATGAAATTAAAAGAAATGAAAAATAATAATTAATTATAATGAAATTTATAACGAATTAGAGAGAAATGGCGAAGTATAAGAAATTTGTTGTTCGAAGTAGGTACGAAATTAACTGTCCTTCGAAAAGAATGCCATTATGATGACTCTGCAAAGCTTGAATTTTGTCGGCCAAAGGGGAAAGATGCCACCCTTCCTTCCCCCAGAATAGTTTCTCGCGATAGCTCGGAACGCGTTAGATTAAAGAGCTGAAGATTGGTATACCTGATCTTTGATTCAAGCCTGGATATTTTGATACCAACTGGATTTTCAGGGCAGATCAGGTTACTGTCCCATGACGTCATAAGTGAGCCTCTGCATGGTCCTAAAATGTCGCAAATTCGTAACATGCTCAGTCAAGGAATCGTTTGCAGAGAGATAAAGCTTATACTTAGTATTATGTTTCCCTTATGTATATCGTACAACGTACCTACATCATTCGATTCGGCTAATCAAGTGAAACACAATGACATCATTCCTGAAGCTCTAGCTTTACAATGTGCCAATTCATTAGCAAAAAAGTAGTTTGACCCAAGGTTTGACCCCCATATTACCTCCACTCAGAAAACACTTTGAGAACATTTTTGAATAAAGACTCATTTGAGTGCTGAAACAAGCCTCAAGTGAATCTGATTTTAAAAACGGTTTCAGTAAGGCTTCCTTTTAGGGCTCATGTACATTAAGCCCGAATACTGGATTCAAGTAAGACCGAAATTGGGGATCGGGCTAAAAACTGGTTTCATAGTGAGACTTATTTTAAAGCTTGAACACCGATAACGGGTACTGGGTGAGATCTGTTTCTATCAATGGCTTTGCTCAGAATGTATTCTCAAAATGTGTGGTCTGTTTTGAATAGGGGACATTAGCCCGAAAACTGGTCTCTGAGACCGAAAATGAAGGAACTGTTTTCTCAGTGTCAGTTGAATCTTGTGCATTCTTGCACCAAAGAAACAGATCCTTAGTCACACAGTGGTATGTACTGAATTAATACCTACAATAAAAAAGCGTTAGATGGACAGTTATCTGCAATGAATTCACGATTGGAAAATTTGAATTCACTAATTGATAATTTTCTTTTTAAATGACATCAAGACCTCTATAGATGACCTCAAGTCAACGAAAATGAGAAACAGTACCTATAATTGTTATGACTTTTGGTGAGCTGAACACGATTGAATTATATCTATGCAAAACTAGGGATTTTATAAAAAAAATAAGCGTAATTTTAGTGCTTCTTTGACAAATACCAGTTTTCGTGGCCTGGTGACCTGACCTGACATCAATGGAACTTAAATTTTCAGAGCATGTGTCAGTTATACTGCCACAAGGATTGGCCTTAATTTGCTGGCGCTACGAGACCATGTTGTCACGGCATCAGCGAAAAACGTAGTAATGCCGATGCCGCTAAATTATTCCAAGTTTACCCTTACGGGGTTCTGCACCGGCTATTGTGTCTTAGAGGCTTGACCTGAAATGACTGGGACTTGAAAGTTTCAAGGAATGCGCGGAAACGATGCCCCATAGAATAGTCCAGAATTGGCAGTGCGTTTTCACGCTATCTGTGAAAAACTTAAGGGAGTTACATCAACCCCCTCTGGCCGATTGGGGGTAAATTAGCGGCGGAACCCCTAGCGAGGGTCGCATTGTCAACCTCTCCGTATTAAGAAGGCCAGTAGAGTCCGGCAAAAGTTGTCTTGAGCGGCTCTTGCTGCATATCAGTTAGTTGTATCATATTAGTCAATCGTGCCATATCCTATCATTTGCATGTCGTCAGCCATCCTTTGCTGGTGTCACAGGAAGGCGTAAGGCGACTGGAGCTGATACAAGTCAAAACACTGGATATGTGTTTATGCATGTGTATTGTGTAACGTGTATTACGTGGGTGTAAAGTGGGAATCAAAATATTTTGCTGGTATAGTTTCACAAAATTCCAGACGCATTTAGTTGTGGTCGTGTAGATACGGTACCGATTGTTGGGCTGTGCAACTGCCCGTACCTCTCAGACAGCTGCTGCTGCTGCTGCTGCTGCTGCTGCTGCTGTGGATGTTCCCAGCCTGCGCCCGTCACTGACCGCGCTGATGTGCTCTCTCTCTCTGACGCCGGCTGGTGGTCTGTGTTACAGGGACGGCGCGTCCGTGCCCGACTCGGAGTTCAGCGACGCCGACAAGCGCAGCATCAGCGGCGTGTTCCGGTGGGTGGCCACCAACACGACGCGCTGTGGGCGGCAAGCTTCATTCGGCGGTCAGGTCTACGCCAACCGGAAGTGGGAGACCCGCCTGCTGGAGGGGGACCGGCCCGTCTGCCTGGACCCAGAGTTCTCCATCGGTGACGCCGGCACGCCCTGCGTGGTGTACTCGTTTGGCATCAATCGAGACTGGTCGTTCGACGACGCGATGGCGCGTTTCGGCTGCGAGGTGCACTCGTTTGACCCGTCGATTGGTGCACAGCCGGCGCGCCGGCCCAGCGGCGTATACTTCCACCCGGTCGGACTGGGCCGCAACGACCACGTGAACGTGTACGGCTGGCAGATCTGGACACTGGACCGCGCCATGCGCGAGCTGGGCCACGACCACCTGCCGCGTCTGCAGTACCTGAAACTGGACGGCGAGGGAGCCGAATGGGACATGTTCTCCCAGCAGCTACTCGACGGCGTCGGACACAGGGCGCTCGACAAGTTTGACCAGATCGGTCTCGAGGTGCACATGCGCAAGTCGGCCGAGCGGGAGATGGAGTTCTACCACCGCGCCGCGAACGTAACCCAGCGCCTCTCCGAGATCGGCTGGCAGGTGGCCGACACGGCGCCAAACAAAATCTACCCGGTCTGGTTCCGGTTTCCGGGCGTGAGCGAGCCTGTCTCTCACATGTACGACCTGCTCCTGCTCAACAGGCGCGAGCGTAGAAACCCCACCGTTCGAGCTGGATCGTGACCGATGGGGTCGGCCAGGAAATGGCTGGGAGCCGGGGTTGACGGACGTTATGCCTGACCTGCCAGGAGCATGGGTGCAATAATCAGGATGCCGAAAAGACATGCATGGCGACACGAAAACATTCGTCCCATGTGGTTACCGCACAGTGGGAGTGCTACTCCCGCGACACTCTCAACACCACATCACTGGCACACCTATAAATACTGCCAGGCTACGTGACCGAAAACAGGGCATCTCTAGGCATACCATTGTAAAAATAACAAAATTACACAAGTAGATTTAGCTCCAATGAACAGTAGGACTGATATGCTAGCGCCGCTCGTGTAGGTATCTGAGATACCGGTGCCATTCGCACCATCGCCCAGCTTCTGATTGAGGCACGGTGCTTATCATTGGTCTTTACCGGCGTCCAAGTTCCCACACGAGTGTCCGCAGACGGTGGCCCTTCCGGCCGGAATGTTCCGCTTGAGCGCCGGGATTACAGCGGCGACTCGAACGCCGTCGCGCTGTCACACCGGTGGCGAGTCGGTCGGCCTCGATCGGCAGGCAATGACCCAAAAACGGTAAACCGTTAGACGCACCGCTCCGAGACGCGGACCGGCGCAGCGCCCGCGAACGGCGCTCGCTGGCTAGCGACCGCGTGCGTGGGTCAATGACCAGTGATACCTAAGCAGAGTAGATGCGGATTACAAACGGATTACAATCAGAGAAGCCGTTTGTCGCACATTTTTACTTGCTCATTTATTCCCCGCAAATGTGACATTCACGGAACACGTACGTGGCAGTCGATTGAGTGTTCGATATACACCACTACTGCCCACAATGCGAAGCAGTACCTACTTACATAGGTATACAGGCCGGTGCTGACGACGGAGTTAAGCGTTTGCTTAGAGCAAACCAATGCACGAACGACACTATGTGCAGGTAAATGAGTTTCTTTGCGGGAGCTTCATTTGCCGATGAATTTGTTTGTCGACATGTGCAATGTAGTCATAGTGTCGTCGTGGGATGAATAGCGTGATGCAGTCGGTATAACGGCCATTGTCACGGCGACATTCATAAATGCCTTGTTGCGTTTGAATGTGATGATATATGCTCGCTACACTGAAATACATGTTTCAATCATGCGAACTTCTTCAAGGCATACCGTTAAGGCATAAGGCCTGCTACCGAAGAATGGAGGTGTATGTATTTACATTTTACGTACATGCACTAGCCCCGCCAAGCTCTTGAATTTTCACGCCCTTATAAGTAATGTGGCGGAGGGGCGGGGGGGGGGGGTCGAACACCAGGGTCTTGGGTCCACTGGCAGATTCAGGGAGCCCCCCTGCAGCGCCCAAAATCGACGAAGTTCTTGTTTTTTTTTTTCGAGAATAAAACGAAAACTTTTATAATAAAAATTTTTCGTTTTAAACTCTACAGTAGTGCGTAAGTGCGAAATCCGATAAGTTTTGGAATTTGAAAACCTTTTTTGGGGGTATGTCCCCGCGGCGTCCAAGACCGCCTTTCTGGATATGCCAGTGCTTTCGGAATTTCGGAATTTCTCGCAAATCACCTAAAACATTAACAATGCGGTGCACTGCCCTAGTGAAAAAATCCTTAAGGACAGTACTATGTATTTCTTCAGGACGATCCTTAACAAAATCCTTGTACGAAATTGATACACAATCCTTAAGGATTTTGTTAGAAATTCCTTAAGGATTCTGCGGAAAATCCGTAAGGATTTTTAGCTAAATCCTTAAGGATCTCTAGCAATGTCTTTAAGGACATTGGTAATAATCTTTAAGGACTTTGTGGTTTTTCCTTAAAGATTTGTAGCAAAATCTTTAAGGATCTTGGCGACAATCCTAAAGGATTTTGAGGCTATTCCTCAATGAACGATATATAAATCCGTAAGGATCAAACCCTAGCAAACACATTTGTACGGTCTCTGGTGCTATATTTTTTTACTTTTACTTAAAACAAGCACATTTAGCCATTTTTCATTGCCAGGAATGGAGCAGCCGCCAACCACAGGCGACCGGGTATACATATATGGAGCTCTAGGCATTCGCAGTTGCAGCTGAGGCTCCGAGAAATATAAGCCGAGGACTTCCGAAAAACATATTTACATACATGAAGATAAGTCTACACTTTTTCGAGTCAGCCACGCTTCAGATATTATCACGTCACACGTCCTCGGCCGCCGCTCCTCCGCCATCCACATTCTACACATCTTGAGCGGTTGAGTCGCCCGTCGCCTGTCGAGCCTCGCATCCTGCGTTCCTGTAACAAGGCGGATATTCCTATGTAATAACAGTAATATACTGATCAACAATACCTACTCAAAGGCTCACGAATTCTACTCTTAGGCTTAGACTGCAGTCCCAGCCAAAGAATATTGGTGAGCCTTTGAGTAAATTCAGTTCAGTCATTTCCAGCTTAGATGCCTGTGTATGTTCATTTAGCAATGCATCACATGTGCACCTACGTCCTGCTACCCTGAATCCATTCTACTATACATATTTACCTGGGCCTCGTTCCAAGGCATGACGCTAAAAGACGCTACCGGTAGTAGTACTTTCATTTGCCGCAGCCAAATGAATGACGACGACGATCGCCATTAATTGAAGTGAACGTTTCAGCGCCGGTTTTTGTATCTATCAATGCAATAACTAGAATCAATTATCTCATTGATACACAGCATGGCAGTAACTTACATGCCCCGAAGAGGAGACGGCAGACGGCACAACACACTCTACAGACTCGTCCGCATCCCGCGAGCGGCAGCGGCACAATGCGACAGGGGGACGCGCGGTCTCCCCTCTTGCCGGAGGCGAGGATCAGACCGCCCGCTGCCGCCCGTACAGTCTTTGCCAAAGAAAACGGTCAGCGGTCGCCAAATTCCAGTCGGTACGGTCTCTGAAAGAGCACAGCGCAAACACTGTGGCACCGGTGGCACTAAGGCCATACGATACATGCATACTGTGGCACTTGGTTGAGATACCAATAGGTACTTTTTATCAGAACTATTCGTCTATCCGATTTGGAGTCTGGGTGAACCCAGCGTGGACATTTAGGTGACCACCCCAGCTGCCCCGCTCGCCTCCCGGTTCCCGCGCCTATGATGATAACGAACGCTGCTTTGGTCCGTCACAAAGTTTTTACATGCCGTATATGTCATATGGCTAAGAAATTATCGGATACGGAGCACGGAATGATAGTAGGGATGATTCAATCACTCCATAATGATTGACGTACTGGCTGCATCGGCTATCCTGAAGGATTAAGCGACACTAGCAAGTAGCAATTTCCTTACGGAATACTGAGCGATCCTTAAGGATACCAAACATCGCCCTAAAATCCTTACGGATCGGCGAATGCGTCCTTAAGGATTCAAGAGGGTCCGTAGAGTCTTTAAGGATTTCATATCTGATCCTTATGGGTCCTTATGGATCCTTAAGGATTGTGGGGATTCTGGCGAAATCCTTAAGGACTTTTTCACTAGGGTGCCCATACCTGCACTTCTGTTGACGTCACGCTGCCAAAAGACAGTCAGCTGTCGCCCAAAAACTTTTCATATTTCTGATATTCGGGTGGGCGGTGTTCCCCAAAGGGCGGTGTTGCCCGTCTTCCCCAGTCCCCTACAGCTTATACCTTGCATAAAACAAGTGCTACAACAAATACACCGTTTCAATCAAGTCACGTTTATCTAGAACTGACAGCTTTGTGGTTATAATAGTTCTCACCTTTTCAAAGCAACACCATGTTTTGTCAGTATTTTAAGTTTTAGGGCAAACAACTTAACTTCTCCAAAATAAACATCCTTACCCCTTTTTGGTCAATGTCGAAACGTATTGAGAGATCAACTTCTTTGTTTGTCGCGTGCGAAATAAAACGACACAAAAGAAAATGAAGAACTGAAAATGGGAAAAAATTGCATAACGATAGTTTAGGGGGGCATGCAGGTTTTGGGGTTTCAATATTTTCATATTTATAGTTTTTCAACTGTTCACCCAAAAGTGCACTTCAAATTTTATTGAAGCTTGTATTGAAAACAATAGGTACAAGCTCCGAAGCAAGAAATCTGCCAAAAGCGTATAATCGTTTCGCTGATTTACACTAATCCCAACCTGTCAGGTACAATTTCGAGCGACTTTTGTCTGAGCGCACCTGCAGATTTCAGCTGTTTACGATGTCAGCCGACGGGGAGGTCAACTATGTAGCTCTGGACCAGATCCAGTTTGACAAAATCATCACCGAGTGGACGGGCGTCACCAGGTGGAACAAGAACTGGGGCTGGATCATGACCAACTACCGTCGCCTGGACGAGCAGCTGGACGCCGCCGGCCGCCGGGACCGGGACACGCTGCAGATCCCGACAGTCGGGTCGCCGAGCGACGCACCCATCTCCCTGCCCGGAGACGTCATGTTCTGGCGAAAAATCGGCCTGCAGCTCACGTAAAAAGCCAGGAACTTTCGGCGCCCATCAGGCCAGGAGATCTCCGAGGCGTTGTATGCGGTCTAGAGAAGTGTTCATGAGGTACCACAGAATGCATGCATGACCGGACGGCAAGTGGCATGGCTGTAAACTAACTCCAGCCATGCTTGGCAACTCAGCTGCAACGAAACAACGAGCCAGACCGAATGTTTCGACGGCAAGGCGACGAATGTGATGCAGCACTTACATTATTCCAACTGGTGTTGAGTGGTGAATTGTTACGGGCTTCGTCTTAGTACCTATGTCGTTTCAGTCCCCCAACCATAAGAAGGCAGCCATACAAGTACCTAGACGGGTAGGAACTTTATGTGATAATGCGATGACAAGAAGATATGAAGAAATGGCGTTCCGAGATTAGTTGCTAAACAAGCTTGATGACGATGTCAAGGGGCTGATTTGACTACCAATGAATTTGAAATCTAGTCAAATTGCCCATTAACATCAGCTTTTGTCTGTGAAATCTTGCAGGTTGATGGACAAACTAAATCCAGAAACATGATAAAAGCTTGTATTTTGCTTCACTCATTGTTACGACTCACACACGGCGGATTGCAATTAGACATGCATCTCTCGAAGGCTGCGAAAATACACGTTAAATGCAAAGACATATTTGCAAAAGCTGGAAGCTTAACTCCCAATGCACATTATATCAATAAGTTAAGATTGACAATAAAATAACACCATATATGTAGATAATCAAAATGGTACAAAAGGAAAATAAGTATGGCCTTTGGGCTTCTGGAAGCAAGTGGTACTGACTACCTACGACCAAATGCAACTAACCCATGCACAGATTGCCGTTCATGGTGAATGAACATTCTAATCAATTTGCTTAAATTGCAAGACTGAAACAAATGGTTTGTCACAGTGATTTCACGTTTATTTGTGGGCATCAACCGCGATAACCACCACCGCCTCCCGAGGATCCGCCGTATCCGCCGCCGCCGCCGCCGGAGGATCCACCGCTGTATCCGCCGCCGCCGCCTGAGGACCCACCGCTGTATCCGCCGCCGCCGCCGCCCGAGGATCCGCCGTATCCACCACCACCGCCGCCGCCCGAGGATCCACCGCTATATCCGCCGCTGCCGCCGCCCGAGGATCCGCCGTATCCACCGCCACCGCCCGAGGATCCGCCGTATCCACCGTCATCCTCTCCGTAGATGATCGTGTACTCGGGAACGCTCTGGAGGTGAACAATCCGGCCGAACTCGTCCTTCACATAACCGATCACCACCCCTCCATAGCCGTCCGGAAGCGCCAGCACGGCAGAGCTGGCCGCGCAGAGTACTAACGCCAGCGTCTGCGGGGACAAACAGAGACAAGATGGAGTTTAAATACGACAGCTGGGAAAGAGCAGTGTCAAGTGCTCGGTGGCCAGTGACAGCAACGATTAACAAAAAATAGACCAGGCAAAAATTGCCTACATTGTCTAAAATGCTCCGCTTGGATCCGCCAGTAGGCGGTTATGAATGGAATTGATGCGCTAGCATTATATGGAACGAAAATCCTTGCTCATAATATGCTATCATTAACTGCATCATTGCAATGCTGTGAAATCAAAAGACAAAATAAAAACATTCCAGTGCCGTGCGATGGAGAGTAAAACGACTATCGTCTGGTGCGCCGCAGCAGCTGAGCTCAACCCGCAGCAACGGAGCGATCTGGCACGGGACGGGCCACCCATGGGTGCAAACGGTCATTAATTAACCGATATGGTCCTACTGGAGCTGTGACCTCACCGGTTATATCAGGGTGCAGTAACAGCCATCTCGCAACAGGGAACTGTGATTCCGGATGATGATGGGTCGGTCGTAAGGATACAACGGGTTCAGGAGCCGCGGGCGTACAGTCTGTCTTAAAAGTAACGCGCAAAGTAAGGGTGGATCCATCAAGCCTGACCGAGGAAGGGCCGGCTAAATTTGAGTCACCGAAGCAATTGACATATCCTCGTCCATTCCCCAGGTCAATTGGTTCGGTGACTTTCAAATTAGGTATAGCCGGGCCTTCCTCGGTCAGGCTTGATGGATCTACCTTTACTTTACGCGGTACTTTTAAGACAGACTGTACAGTTATTTCCATCCTGCCATCTGACCGCAACTCCTCTAGCTGCTGCCAAAAGCAAAAAAAAAAACGGAATAAATTTAAAGCAAAACCATTGTGACGCTAATAGTTTCTAGCTGCCTGAACTTAAGCTTATGAGACACCCGTGGATTGACGCCTTTCGCTCTTCACAGTAGGCAAGGTACCCGATGCATCCCAAAAGGAAACATTGGTACTTGACTCAGAAATTAGTTACTTATGCACTGTGCACATATGTAATTAGCAAGGCATCACAACAGTTTCTAGGGATCGGTACTCACCAGGGGAGACATTGTTACAGATGTAGGGGCAGCAGCTGACTGCGCCGGGCGGCCGCAGCCCACCCTTTATACCCACGGCGACAGGTGGACGGACCTATACCCCGTGGCCGTCAAGGTGGAGTCGACCCCCTCCTACCCTTGCCTTAGTGACCTGCATCCCGGCTGTGGAGGGGAGGGCCCCCGCGCGCCGCCGGCAGTGCGGCAGCAGGGCCCCAGCAGAGGCCGAGGGGACGGAGGGCGGCACACTGCCAGACCAGCGTGACCTTGCTATTCACGCCTGACTGGTGTGTCATAGGAGTCGTGAGGCTGGACACGGAGTCACGTATAGTATGAGGCGTGTTACGTGACATAACACGGTGTCACTTGGAGTGTTAGACAAATGAAGCTGCAAAGACGGCATATGTATATGTTACAGGGAGTTTGAGAAATCCGTGAGTTTGCAAACTCCCTAGTGAGTTTGCAAACTCCCTGACCCATCAGTGACTTTGCAAACTCACTAGGGAGTTTGCAAATTCACTAGGGAGTTTGCAAACTCACTGACCGGTCAGGGAGTTTGAGAAATTCCAGAGCGATTGGGCCAAATAAAATCAAATGTGTAAGATGAGGGTGGCATTTGTGCCGTCCGTGATGTTAAAACAAAAGCGACTAGTGGTACGGCTTATATAACCGTCGCACGCTGACAAAAAGCTTACAGATCCTTCATTGTTTTACCGAAAAAAATGCTACTCGCGGCTATGTAAAGGGAGCAACGTGCTCCTCCGTTCCGTCGTTTCCATCCTCAGGAATCAGGATACTGAAATCCTTCTCGTCCACGCTGAAACCCCCACTCCGGGCTGGACAGGCACCGTCAGGGGCGCGGGAACTACTTTCCGACTGGGGGGGCACACCATAATAGAGATTAACCTAGGGTACCCCCAAATCTAGTTTTCTCACCGGTTTTAGGCCACTTATTTTTCACCCCTCGGCTTTTTCAACAAAAAAGAAAACATTTGCAAAAAAAAAAGTGTGGTATTCCGTCTCAAAGCTGTGGGGGCACCGCCCCCACGGCCCCAGAGTTGGGGGGCAAGCTGCCCCCACTGCCCCCCGGCTCCCGCGCCTATGGGCACCGTTATCTCATGCGGGCTGCTCCCTTGGAGCGGCACCGCCGCTCCCGAGGGAGCGCACCCCGTAGCCGGGTGCAAAGAGTGCTTGGGGGGGCTGGTCGGTCTCTCAATTCGGACGGGCTCAGCCCCGGCGACTCTGCATATAGGGTGTCTGCCCAGACCAATGTCTCCCCCTATAATTCCTATCATTCGTCCGACTCTGAAATGGTCTTGTCAGACCGAAAGGGCCTAACCCAACAAAACAAAAACAAACAAGCAGCGTGCGCCAGTCGCAGCTGGGCTGGCTGCCAGCAGCGCCGGCTCTCGATGACACGTCTATGGCGGAGTGGTGTTATAAACTTAAAATCTCTTTTGAGGCCGATGCATTGTATTTAAAAGGTATGCCCCGTCAAAATTAAAAACAAAACACACAATGCCTACATTTTTGGACAACAACAACTTTCTTACGTTTTGTTCTACATTTCGAAATAAAATAAAACACGTGCTGCACGAACTCGGTAGCCTAGGGAGCCACCATATCGACAATACCCTATTATCTATAATAATACATGTAAGCTTTGTTCGTAACAAGTAAGAATGGGCGTGAATTGATGCGTGTGCCTGTACTTTAGCATAAGTGACCAACAGTCAGCTGTTTCTACTTTGATATATTTAGCCTGACTCTGGAATAGCCGCACTTGAGTGGAACGGGTCTAATTGGGACGTGAACTAAATAAATGTATAACTAAATAAAGCGGCGGTACATGCATGGGTAAATCACTGAATAGTTTCAAATAAAAAAGGTATTTATGGTGTGCATATGATCTATAGGCTTTTTGTCAGCGTGCGAGGCCTTAGAGCTAGCCTCCTTTGTTTAACAACACGGACGGCACGTATGCCACCCACATGCTGCTGAAGGATCTGTAAGCTTTTTGTCAGCGTGCGACGGTTATATAAGCCGTACCACTAGTCGCTTTTGTTTTAACATCACGGACGGCACGTATGCCACCCTCATCTTACACATTTGATTTGATTTGGCCCAATCGCTCTGGAATTTCTCAAACTCCCTGACCGGTCAGTGAGTTTGCAAACTCCCTAGTGAATTTGCAAACTCCCTAGTGAGTTTGCAAAGTCACTGATGGGTCAGGGAGTTTGCAAACTCACTAGGGAGTTTGCAAACTCACGGATTTCTCAAACTCCCTGTAACATATACACTAATACAGCACAATACCTGTAGGAGACGAAAAAAATAGGAAGGCACGAGAGACGGATGGGAGGGAGCGAGAGCGAGAGAGAGAGAGAGAGAGAGAGAGAGAGAGAGAGAGAGAGAGAGAGAGAGAGAGAGAGAGAGAGAGAGAGAGAGAGAGAGAGAGAGAGAGAGAGAGAGAGAGAGAGAGACGAATGCGGCAAGTTGAACTATAGTCACTGGACTTCAGCAACCACCTGTGCCCTCGTGACTGCCCTGACCTGTGGGTCCAGCCACCCGTGACCTCGTGACTGACCTGACCTCTGCGGCCGGCCGCTTTCCTTCCTCTTCATGGATACCTATACAGACTGTATGTACTGTAGGCTATACAGTCTGCACTGAACCCAGCAGCATGTGGACCAAGTTCTCATCGGATCTTTTGGCGACCAGGGAACTACCGAACCATGAATCTGAACTGCCGAATCATTATGGCTGAAACCTATTTGTCTGTTTTATTGTCCATTGGGTCAATTGGTATCGAAGTAATTGGACGGGCAGGCGACATTTTAAACTACCAGCCAAAATGTATTTCGGTGTGATTTGGTCACATGACATCCATCCGTCAGAAGTCTTACGTTTAGCCCATTGGGACAGCGCAGTCAGCTCGCAGTTGATACTTTTTAATTTTTCAAACTAACTAAATGACGAGCATTGCCCGCACCCGATTCACTAGGCGGAAACATGCTTCCACCCAGTGAATTAACAGTGTTCAGCCAGCATTGCAATGCTTTGTGGCGGCACACAACGTTGCAACTTGCAGTTGGTAGGCCGTGGGCCCGTCGGTTCAATCAACACCCCTCGGCACCTGACTTGCACCCGGGTGGGCCTCTCAGCCAACTTCGCCATGTTATAAAGGTACCTAAATGGTCACACCTGTTATCTCGAGAAATAGGAAAGATAAAAAGACGCAGTAAAAAGCAATCGATAGCACTCAACAAGAAACATATAATAGAAAAAGACCAATTTTCGCTCAGATCAATGCTGAGGTCACTGGAGGTCATCAAAGGCCAGAATTTATGAGTTCCCGCTTGTACAGGCTGACAATATGAACTTGTAGGTCAGCAAACAAAACAGCTAGAAGTTATACAGTCGATAGCTTATTGAAAGTTCTTCTCAGCTTCTATCACACGATCTTGATCTCAAGTCAGCCGTTTGACCTACAGAGGCCAGGAGAGGTAGAAATGTGTCGGACATTGCATATAACTATACCAAGGCGATGTTTTGCGGGAAACGTCTTCTTCAATAACTTTTGACGTACGCCTTGTGCGAGTTTACTTTTACTGGCATCGTGTTTCTCTCGTCAAGACACGTCGAATGAACTATACTTGGACCTTGGAAGGTCAACTTTAAAATTTGACCTCAGGTCCAGGTCATGACCTGGCCGGAAAAGACCGTGTTGCATATCAATCGATCCGTATCGTCGAGATGAGCACATCTTAGGTGTTAAAATCGCTCTAGCTACGCTCTATCAAAAGTTGTTAGCGAAAAACTGTTGAATACCTTCTTGACCTGAGATGACCCTGCAGGGACATAAGGAGGGCTCACGGAAACCAGTTTCCTGTTCATTGTGTCATCTTTGTTGGTACCTTATTAGGTGTTTGAGAGTATTTAGACTTACGTTCGTCCAAAAAGGCGCCTTTCAATTTTCTCCCTTGACTGATGACTAATGGAGAGATCGCAAAATTGACCTGACCTTATAGATCACCAATATCAAAATTTTGAAATACCATATGCAACTTGTTGGTACTGATTCGCTCATGCAAACGACGAGTTGCAAACTTCTGGCACATACCTAAACTGTAGAAATGACAGGGTCACAATTTTCCTAGAGGCATGGTCACTTAATTTGACCTGGTGACCTGACATACTTGGGATGAAAAAATTTACACACGATGCGAACTTGATGCATAGTCACAATAGCCGTTTTCACGACGGCCATCTCGTACACATTTGGTGCACATCTGGTACAGATTAGGTCATTGGTGCAGATTTGGTCAAATCAGGTTCAGTGTGTCTATAGCAGCTATCAGCTAGGGTTGCACTAATTGCTTATATGCCTATTGCCTGCTTTGTCATATTATCAGAGAACATCATCGATTAAAGCACTTAAATAAATTCATAAAATGAAGATATTTGCTGTAAAAGAAAATAGGTGCAGATTTGGTCAAATCAGGTGCATTCGCCGGATAGCCCGTCGTGAAAACGGCTAATGTAGACCAAGTTTAGCGCCGCTACGCGCAGCGGTTTTTCCCATATTGCTACATTGCATGATTAAATCGGGACAACCAGGCATTTCAACGGCACGTGCACTGTACCACACTTTTCAAAGTTTAATGCAATGCTTTAATGGCTTTAATATTACAAGCCGTGTGGTTCAAGGGGTGTGGTTAAACACGTTGAACCACACGGCTGCTGACGTCACTATCATATAGGTAGTTGTGAGCTTTTTGGCAGGTATGGGAAACACCTTCCAGCCCTAAGGCCGGGAATTCAATAAATGTCACCTCGCTTTTTTAGCAATATCACCTCGGGCCTAGCGGCCCTCGGAGTTTTCGCTAAAAAACCTCGGTGACATTTATTGAATCATCCCGGCCCCGGGCAGGAATATATTTTCTTACACACGCAAAAGGAAACTGGCAGTTGTGAGAAAGAAGGCCCCCCCAAACACACACACTCAAGGGCAAAGGTAAAAACCTGGGCATGCATTTTTTACAATGTGTCTTTCAAAGTGCATAAGCATGCGCTCAAAACATTACAT